CCGGCACCCTCGGAGCCTTGCGCGCTGCCCATGACCAGCTCCAGCTGGGAGCCCCGGCTGCTTCCTCCGTTCCCATCGGGCCCTTCCCCTGGCTCTGCAGGGACCCAAGCCATGGGCGAGCCCGCTCGGCAGGGCCCCAAGAACCCGCATGTGTCCAGTGTGACGGTCCAGCTGGAGATGAAGGCTCTGTGGGAGGAATTCAACCGGCTGGGCACGGAGATGATTGTCACCAAGGCAGGCAGGTGTGAGCGGCGGGCGAGGTGTGCATGTGTGGTGGGGGCAGGCGCCAGGCTGGCACTGAGCTTAGGCTGCTGGCGCCTTCTTCCCGCAGGAGGATGTTCCCCACCTTCCAGGTGAAGATCCTGGGCATGGACTCGCTGGCGGACTACGCCTTGCTCATGGACTTTGTGCCCCTGGACGACAAGAGATACAGGTCTGGGAGTCACCGGGGGAGTGGCTCGGGCCTCAGGTGCCGCAGTGGGAAAGGGCGCCCCAAGCTGCACTCGGGGAGGGAGGGTCGGTCTGAGTCGCCTCAGGGAGGCCTATCCTGGGGCAACAACAGGGAGCCTGGTGGCAGAGGGAGCCCAGCCCAGGGCAACCAACAGCCTGAAGTAGGCAGTGGGCAGTGGGCCGGTCTGGACAGGTAGAGGGGCCCGCCCAGGGCAGCAGGCGCAGCCACAGGAAGCTCAGGGCCGGAGAGCAGTCTTGGAGCCTCGGGCTCCTCGTGTGCAGGGAGGGCAGATGCTAACAACCCCTTCTCCCGCCAGTCTTGGCCCCAGGCAGGGGCGGCAGGTGGGTGCAGATGGGGCCCCTCACTGCCACTCTGCTCTGCAGGTACGCCTTCCACAGCTCGGCCTGGCTGGTGGCAGGCAAGGCGGACCCGGCCACCCCCGGCCGCGTGCACTTCCACCCCGACTCGCCGGCCAAGGGTGCGCAGTGGATGCGCCAGATCGTGTCCTTTGACAAGCTCAAGCTGACCAACAACCTGCTGGATGACAATGGCCACGTGAGGCCCCGGGGTGCAGGCGGAGGGGTTGGGCCTGGTCAGGAGACGCTGGGTCCTGATTGTGACGGAGCCCGGAGCTGGAGCAGGCCGGGCCTTTGGTACCCAACAGCCTCGCTGCCCAGCATCCCCACCCACTGCTGATGGTCAAAGCTGGGGAGCCAAGCTCACCCACCCGGCGCCTGACAGCAGAGGTGACTGTCCAGGCAGGTGGGGAAGTGGGTTGGGGGAGCGGGAATGTTCTAGCAAATGCTGTCATTCTCATGTACAATGTTTATGGACCATCCGCCACAAAGCTGGCCCATTGTAGGTGCCAGACACAGGACAGCAAACGCTCCAGAAGGCACTGGACGCAGTGTCTCAGATGGCGGTAAATGCCAGCAGAAAAAGGAGCCAGGGAGGGGCTGAGATGAGGCGACTGTGGCCGTCAGGGGCCCAGGAAGCCGCAGAGGAGATATTTGGGACAGTGGAGGGAGCCTGTGCATCTAGAAGGGGGGCTGCTGCAGGTGGGGAAACAGCATGCGCAAAGGCCCTGAGGCTAGGGAAACCCCGGGGGCGTCGGGGGCACTGCAAGGAGGTTCCCATGTAGCTGGACTGGAGTGAGGAGGGGAAGGGAGGTGGGGAAAGATCCTGGGGCAGCCGGCTCATCTACAGGGCCCGTGGCTACAGAGAGGGCTCTGGCTTTTACTTTGTGTGGAGTGGGGAGCCACAGGACAGTTTTGAGGACAGGGTGACATGCTGTGGCTCACTGGGGGCGCTGTGTGGCGAATGGACAGAGGGGCCAGTGGCAGCAGGGAGACCAGGCAGGAGGCAGCTGGGGAAGCCCAGGTGAAAGACAATGGAGGCCAGATGGGGTAGAGGCGATGGGGTGGGAGAGGCGGTCGGATATTGGAAAGACCTGAAGGCAAAGCGGGCAGCGGGGACGTGGGTGTGAAAAAAGGCCAGGCACTGAGGACGCTCAAACACACGGCCGCCTTGACGCAGAGCCTATGCCACCAGCCCAAGAAAGGGGGGCAGCGGGCCCAGGGCATCCTCTCTGCCTGGGGAGAAGGGCTTCAGCCTCGGTGTGCAGCCCCTCTCCCGCACGCCCCCTCCCACGTCCCCCACAGATCATTCTCAATTCCATGCACCGCTACCAGCCCCGCTTCCACGTGGTCTTCGTGGACCCCCGCAAGGACAGCGAGCGCTACGCCCAGGAGAACTTCAAGTCCTTCGTCTTCACGGAGACCCAGTTCACGGCCGTGACGGCGTATCAGAACCACCGGGTGGGTCAGGCCACAGCTTGTGGGGCACCTGCCAGCCCATGTCATAGGGATGGAGACAGAGGCTCAAGGCTCCTAGCCCCCGCATGCACGCGGACCCCAGCCCTTCTTTCCCAGGTCTCAGCGAGCATGTGCTCAGTCATTCCCTTCTCCTCACGCCCACTGTGGTTCCAGGTCCCAGGGTCTCCTGACTGGGGAGATCCAGGGAGGTCGGGATGGCTGAGCCGGGTACCCCACACTCTTTCACCAGACCAAGGCTGACCTGCAACTGCACTTTCTTCTCTGCAGATCACCCAGCTGAAAATCGCCAGCAACCCTTTTGCCAAGGGCTTCAGAGAGAGTGACCCCGACTCCTGGTACTGTCTGACCCCTGCCGGTTGTGCCCCGCTGCCCTGACCCAGCCCCTCACCCCCTTCCCCAGGCATCTTCTAAAGCCTTGGCTTTTGACACTAGTTTGAGGGTCACACCCACTGACTGGTCCTGGGGTCTCACTGGCTGACTCTGAACCAGACGTTTGGCCTGGGTTCTTCACCTTGACTCCCTGCCCCAACTCCTGCCCACCCCTCCTGCAGGACGGCACCTCCACGGCCCCTGCTCGGTGCCACAGCCCGGAGTCGCAGTGGCCTCAGCTCCTGTCTGCTGAAGGGCGCCACAGGGCAGGAGAAAGGTTCATCCCCAGACCCGCAGACACAGTGGGACCAGAGCCTACATGGTGGGTGAGAAGCAAGGGGACAGGGCCACAGGGCCTCCAAGATGGGGCTCCAGCATGCTTGGCAAGCCCACTGGGCACCTGTGTGGACAGAGAGGGGAAAGCAGAGATTTTTGAGACAATTGGGGGCCCAGGGCAGAGAGAACAGGGTAGGAACAAGGTGCTGAGAGCAGGGGTGGAGGTTTTTGGGTGGGCCTCCTGGAGGAGGTGGTTCCCACGCTGGGCCTCGGAGGACTGGGAAGCATTTGGATAGAGGGAGAAGGTGGGGAAGAAATTCCAGGCAGAGGGACGGGACGAGCAAGAGCAAAGTCTGAGAGGTGGGCCCTTTGGGGTGGGAGGAGCAGAGAGGGGGACAGGGCGGGCATGGATGCGAGGGGAGCTCTGGGGTTCGCTCAGACCATTTTCTCCCTCTGTCCCCAATGAAGCTCCAGCTTCCACCTCCAGGACCCCTGCCCGGCTCCACCATCAGCTGCTGGCCGCACCGGAGGCGCTGCTGGCCCCGGCCACCTATCGGGCCCTCACCTGTCAGGACCTGTACCCTGGAGCCTCAAGCCCCCTCGGAATCCCAAGGCCCCGACCAACACCATACCCCCTCCCTAGTATCCAGGCTGACAGGGATCAGGGGGGCCTGCCCCTCCCAGCTGGGCTGGGCCTGCTCTCCCCCACTGCCAAGTGCCTGGGATCTCGCCAGGAACCTCAGTGATGGTGGTGCCCTGTGGACAGAGTCCTCTTACCCTGGACCCCACTCCCTCCACCCTCACCTCTGCAGAGACACTGCCCCTTCCCAAGGAGAGCAGTGGAGATAGAAGCCCAGGGAGGGGGGTCAGCTGCCCAGAATCACAGAAAGGCTGGGATGGTGCCGGGCTTGAAACCAGACCTCCTACACCCCAACCTATCCCTTGTGCCTTCGGAGTGACTCCTCCAAACCCTGCTTTCCCTCCTCCTTACCCCCAACATTAAACCGTTTGGCATGGGTGGTCAGAGAACTTCCGTCTTCAGGCATGGGGTGGAGGGCCTCAGGATCGCCCAGACACCGGTCTGGGCTGCAGACACCCCAAAGCTCTCCCAGTGCCATTGGCATCCCTGGGAGCACAGAGTGACGGCAAAGGTGCTGACGCCAGTTGAGTGGCGGAAGGCCGCTGTGTGCCAGGCTGGGGTTCCTGCTCCCTGCCTTGTGTGCCCAGGTGAGGACTGACACTGCAGCTCAGAGAGGTGTTTGCTCAAAGTCAAAGCCAAGTATGGTGGCATCTGCCATTCCACGTTTAGGTGCTGTACGTGAGGTCGGAGTTCTGTGGTCCTCGAGGGGTCGGGGTTTGGTGGAGGGTTACAGAACCACGATAGGCAGTGACCACACGGGCCAAGGTGGGTTGCGAGCAGGGATTTGAGGATCTGATCAAGACCCAAGCCAGGAGAGTTTCTAGAGAGTGTGGCATTTAAACCAAGACCTAAAGGAGCAGAAATTGCAGGGGGAGGGGGGCGGGACAGGAGGTGAGACAGCTCTGGGCAAAAGTCCGGCTGGAGCGGGTCCCTAGGAGAGGGAGGGCGCGGCGCGCGCCACTTTGAGGAACCAGGCGGGCACACCCCCGCGGCCCCTGACGTCCTCGGCCTCCTAAGAGGCGCCCCATGAACCCCCTAAACGCCGAGTCCGCTCCTGTTGGAGCACTTCCTGGGAGGTCCTTGGAGAAGAACGGACACACAACGGCGCCAGGGACGGGAGCCCGGCGGGGCCTCAAAACAGCAAGACACGCCGACCTGAGCTGCTCCAGGGAGGATGAAGGACACACAATCCTAAGCGTCCGTCCCTAAATTCGGCCCTGGCCCAGGCCCACCCCTCGCGGCCCGCCCAAGACATCTTTCACCGCCCCTTCCGGCCCTTCCGGTAGCTTGCGGCGGAGCCACTCCCTTAGGTCCCGCCCACCACTTTCACATTTTTTGGCCCCGCCCCTTCCTCTGAGACCCCCCCGCCCCTTTGCGTAGGCCCCCGCCCCCTAAGGCGCCGTGCCGGCGTCCTTGGAGCCCCAGAGACAGAGCGGGGCGGGGCGTTCGGGCCGACTCCTCCCCGGGCTCCCACCAGGTCCCGGATCCCGCGAGCGCTGCTTTGTTCCTTGCCTTCGTCCGCCGGGCGTCCTCCGGCCGTGGCAGTTCCCGGCCAGACATGTTGCCTGACTGCCTGTCGGCGGAGGGCGAGCGGCGTTGTCGGCAACTACTGACCCGGGCCACGGCCCGGCTCCGCGCGCGCCCTGCGGCAGCCGCTGTGCTCGTGCCTCTGTGCGTGGTGCGCGGGGTCCCGGCGCTGCTCTACACGTTGCGGTCCAGCCGCCTGTCCGGGAGGCACAAGGGGGACGTCAGGTACACCGCCGGGAAACTCCTCTTCCTAATAGGAGGAGGCCGCCGAACCCCGGAGACTGCTGGCACCGTGGCCAAGGCACTTAGCCTCTCCAAGCCTCGGTTTCCGCCTCTATAGAATGGGTCTGCGGGCCGAGGCAGAACTGGCCACCGGCGTCCCTCTTCCCGGAGCCTGGGAGGGCTCCCTCAAAGCGCATCCGCCTCACTTCGGGCCTGCGACACCTGTCTCTGAGCCGTGTCCCCCTCTCTAAAAAGGCAGACCCCCGCGCCCTCCTGGCCACTATGGGGAGATTCCGGTCCCAGAGCCAGGGAAGCGCTCTGGGTGGTGATTTTCGGCTTCCCGCCCTGGCTCCGCCCACGCAGGAATTGGGGACACCCTAGGGCAGGGGTCCCCAACCACCGGGCCGCAGACCGGTACCGGTACGGTCCGTGGCCTGTTAGGGACCGGGCCGCACAGCAGGAGGTGAGCGGCGCGAGGGGTGAGCCAGAGCAACAGAGTGCTGCCTGAGCTCCGTCTCCTGTCCACCTCGCCCTCACCCGTCCGTGGAAAATTTGTCTTCCACACAACCGGTCCTTGATGCCAAAAAGTTGGAGACCCAGGCCCTAGGTCAACGTCAGCGCCCTTGGGGCCACCATAGACAGAATTTGCGTCTCTGAGTTCCAGAGCCCCTCACCCTGCCCCCCAGCACTCAGAGAGGTAAACTGTGCCTGGAGAGGTCTTGTGGCTTGCCAGAGGCCTCACTGCACACTAGGGGCCAAAAGCTTAAGCTGGGCCACTGGCCCGCTGCCACAGCTGCCATCCCTACCCCTCCATGGCCCAACAGCCCAAGGACCAGGATGCCTGTGCCTGTTTAGTTTCCCAGGTGGCAAGTGTGACCCCACTGACCAGGATGTGGTGGACACAGCCCTGAGGGAGACCCACGAGGAGCTGGGCCTGGCTGTGCCTGAGGACCACGTGTGGGGCATCCTGCGCCCCTTGTATGACCAGGTGAGCCCACCAGGCCCTGAGGCCACAGCCAGCCCTTACCCCATTCACCCAGTCTGCCTGCCCTGGGCTGGGAGCCCGGCCATGGACCCCAGCAGGTGGAGGGTGCAGGGAGCACCACACCCCTGCCCGGTGGTCCTCTTCTGTCCCCTCACAGCCTGCCAGGGAGGGGCCAGCAGAATTTCTATCATCTTTTCAGGGGGATACTTAGGCTCAGGCCCTGTGTTGGAAGTGGCTCTGGAGCGAGCCAGCTCTGCCCAGTTTGGTGGATGAGGGGTGGCTTCACAGGGTAGAAAGGGACTGAATGACAAGTGGCAGAGTTCAGGGTAGTAAAGGGAAGGCAAGGCTGTTCTAAGTGGAGGGAACAGTGTGCAGAGGTCCAGGGGCCTGAGTGGGAAACCGAGTCAGTCAGCATGGCTGGAGGGAGCCCCAGGACAGGGTCCACGTGGACCCGGCCGCGGCTGGCAGGGGCGGGGCCTTCCTCTCAGCCCCCCCTCCCCAGCTCCATAGCCCTGCCAAGGCCATGCCCCCGCCCCTGACTGCCTGCCTTGCCGCCCCAGACGATGAGCACCATAGTGCCGGTGCTCGCCAGCGTGGGCCCACTGGATCTCCAGAGCCTCAAGCCCAACCCCGAGGAGGTGAGTCGGGGCAGGGGTGCTGGGGGACCGAGGTGTCCCAATGCAGCGGCCAGTCCTCTGCTCACCTCGCACTGCCTCCCGCTCACAGGTGGAGGAAGTGTTTGCCCTGCCCCTGGCCCACTTGCTGCAGGAGCAGAACCAGGGCTATACCCACTTCTGCCGGGGTGGCCGCTTTGGCTACACAATGCCAGTCTTCCTTCACGGGCCACACCGTGTCTGGGGGTTGACGGCTATCATCACCGAGTTCACCCTGCAGCTGCTGGCACCTGGCGCCTACCAGCCCCGCCTAGACTTCCCTGGATTTCAGCCCAGGGACTGACAGCCTGGCCCTGAGCAGCCCTCACCTTCACCCTGCTAGGCCAGCTCCACTCCAGGACTGAATAAAGAGCTTCACCACCTTTGAGGCAACAGTGTCTGCTGCACTGGCACCCTGACCTTGGGCAGACCCCAGGGACAGCTGGTCTCCCAGCTGGGGTGCCTCTGTCCGAGCACACGGTCACCCGCAGCAGTGGGCACTTACTGTGCCTGAGGTACTCAACATCGTTTCTCTCACTGAACCCTCACCTCGGCCCTGCGAGGTGGGGCCAACACTGTCCCTGGCTGGTGAGACCGGGGCTCACCGAGGATAGACCCCTTGCCCAAGGTCACCTCGTGCTGGGATTCGAACCAGGCCCTCTCTGACTAGAGGCCAAACACTTAGCCACCACACCGTTCCCTCCTCCATGTGCCGCGCTGCAGGAATCCACAGGGCAGCCCTGCACAGTCCTGCTGAGCGCCCACCATGTGCCAGCTGCTGTCCTGGCTTCTGGGGGTTGGGGGACTCAGGCTAGGGGAGACCTTAGGCCAGGTCACACAGATAGCCGTGTGATGGCACATTAAGCACATATAAATAATAGTAGGATTATACATTAATTACACAGACCAGGGTTCTGTGAAGGAGTTCAGGGGTGGGTGTTTGGGCCTTGACATGTGGATGGGGCAGTATTAACCAGGACCGGTGGTAGGAAACCACCCACTGGCTGCCTGTGCCCACAGAGGAGTGGGGACCATGAACTCCAGAGGTACGCTAGCTTCAGGCATGGCTGGGTCCAGGGGCTCCCTTTCTGGCTCTGCCTTCCGCTGTGTTGGCCTCACTCCCAGGGGCAGCCCCCGTTCCGCGGGGACAGGAGACGAGCGCAGCAGCTCCAGGAGGACGCCAGCGCCACCAACAGAAAGCGGAGCTCGGTCTCGGCCGGCTGACCTGGAGCCGCTCTGTGTGGGCCCACCGGGGGCTGCCTGCCCTCCCCTCAGCCTGTCCTGTGGCCTGCTGGGTCTGGAACCCATGGACTGCCAGGGTGTGGAGCAAGAGCCTGGGGAGGAGGATGAACCTCCTGGACTGAGAATAGGGAAGGGGTGGCCTCCAAAAGACCACTGGGAAAAGGGAAGGCGGAGCAGGTAGAAGCCAACTAAGGTCCCCTTCGGGGAGTGACTTAGAAACCAAAGGTGAGCAGGAGTGAGCCAGGTCAAAGGGTAGGGCAGGGAGTTCGGGGCAGAAGGAGAGGCACGTGCACCCAGCTCAGGGTGTTCAAGGAAACCACGGAGAGCAACGTGGAGGTGAGGGGACCGCAGTGGGCTGCTGAGGGCACACGCTCAGGGGCGGGTTAGGGTTTCAGTCCAAGTCTGTCAGAGGGGAGAGAGGTGTTGACGTGACCTGATTCATGTTTTAAAAAGCCTGAGCTGCAAGGGGGCCGGACTGCAGATGCCCTCTTCCTCAGGTGCCCGCTCCGCACCTCCTAACGCGTCCCCATGCCCTCCCTCTGCCCACACACCTCCCCTCTCACCTACCTCTGCATCCCCACACACCCCTCCCATTGCCCTTCACACCCTTTGTGTCACCTCTGGGCACCCAGCCTCCCACCTTGGAGCAGGTCCCATGATGGTGGTAAAAATAACTGACAGCATGAGAAGGCGGGGGGAGGAGGGAGGCTGAGAGGCCCTGCCCCTACACCAAGGAAGGGACCCTTGATGTTGAGAGCAGGGAGGCGCCCTCTCTTGATCCCTGAAGGTGGGCGCTGAGCTCCGCCCCTCCCCCTCCCCCACGGGTCCTGGGGGACCCTGGGCCACACAGATGGGTCACCTCGGTCAGGCGCACACCCGGCACCAGCAGCGACCCGCGCTAAGAGGAGGAGCCCTCGGGGAGGTGAGTAGCCCGGCACGCGGGTCCAGCACACGGGTCCCCCTCCAGGCTGGAGCACCCTACTTCTGTTCCACCCACCCAACCCTGCCCTCTGTCCTCAGGTCCCGGCTGCCACCCAGGACCCCCCTCAGCACCCGTAGTGATGCCACTTTACTGTGTCGTGTTGGCCCCGTGTGGTCCCCTCCTATCCAGTCCAAGGGGGCTCCTCTGAGCCCCCGCCCCGAGTCTGAGCCCCCATGGCGGGCACCGCAGCAGCGAGCCGGAGGCGGCCCCAGCGGGTGAGCATGCAGGAGCACATGGCCATCGATGTGAACCCAGGACCCATCCGGCCCATCCGCCGCATCTCCGACTACTTCCCGCACTTCTACCCCTTTGCTGAGCCGGCCCTGCGCGCCCCAGACCCGCACCCTGCAGTGGCTCCTGCCATCGGCTCTGCGCCCCCGCTGCAGCCCAACCCAGAGCCAGAGGGAGACTCGGACGACAGCAGTGAGTGGGCGCGGTCCAGCCAGGGAGGGGTCTGAGGCGTGCCATCCCCCTCCTGCCCTGTGAGGGTCAGGGCAGGAGGCACGGTGCCAGTGCCGTGGAGCGGGGGCTCAGGTGGGGACTGACCTGGCGTGCCCCCGCCCCCAGCTGCCCTGGGCGCCCTGGAGTTCACGCTTCTTTTTGATGCGGACAACAGCGCCCTGCACTGCACGGCTCACCGCGCCAAGGTAAGGGTGGGGCCGGGGTCCCTGGGCCTGGCCCACAGGCCTGCCCCACATCCATTGTCTCTTCCCAGGGCCTCAAGCCACCAGCCTCAGGCTCCGTGGACACCTATGTCAAAGCCGATCTGCTGCCAGGGGCCAGCAAGGTGAGGGCAAGACCCAGCCCCTTCCGTGCCCCTTGGCCTCACCCCACCGGCAACACCTGTCCTGCCTTGGCCCTTCCCCGCAAGGCCTGGACTTCGGGCCTGGGGCTCCTCGTTGCTGGATATACAGCTGAGGGTTTTATCAGGGAGGTGGGCCAGGGCAGGGCCCTGGAGCCTGCGCAGACCCTGACCCACCCTGCCTGGCCCTCAGGCCAGCCAGCTGCGGACACGTACAGTTCGGGGCACAGGGGGACCTGTCTGGGAAGAGACACTCACTTATCACGGCTTCACCCGCCAGGATGCTGGGCGCAAGACCCTGCGGTGAGGGCTGGACCTGGGCACGAGGGAGCAGGGTGGAATGGGGGCTTGCCGGTCCAGGTCTGACCTGGGGGGCCACCAGGCTGTGTGTGTGCGAGGACCTGCGGCTGCGGCGACGTCGGCGAGCGCCTCCCCTGGGGGAGCTGCGGGTGCCCCTGAGGAAGCTGGTGCCCAACCGAGCCAGGAGCTTCAACGTGTGTCTGGAGAAGCGGAGGCTGGTGAGTGGGGACGGTGCCCAAGGCGGGGCTCCAGGGGCCAGCGACCTCGTGAAGGGGGAGCCGGAGAGGGAAGGGACAGTGAGGGGGCCTGGGCAGTGTCTGGCTAACGTGCGCGGGCTCTCTGCTCTTTCAGACCAAGAGGCCCAAGAGCCTGGACACGTCCCGTGGCATGTCCCTGTATGAGGTGCGTAGGGCAGCAAAACAGAGCAGGGACGTGGCGGGGACAGGCCGGGGGTGCCCTGGCTGAGGTGCGTCAGGTAGGGGCCGAGGTGGTCTTGGAGAGACCGAGGCCATCTCTCTCGTGTTCTGCGAGTGTCGGAGCCCTGGGGAGCAGCCAGGCCAGCGGAGAGGCGGGGCACTGGGGGACAGCGAAGCCCTTGGGTGGGGTTTGCCTGTGGCCAGAAGATCTGGGAAGGCCGGAGAAAATGGACAGGGTGCGATTCGCTGACTGCTAGGTTGACACCTGGGACAGTGTGGGTGCCACTCCTGGGGCTGGTAGCCCCAGACAGGCCCTCGTCAGGAGACAGCGACGGTGAGTGCAGGGGCCCCACCACAGGCCAAGGACTAGGCCAGAGCCCCTTTGGCCCGGGCCGGGTGGGGATACTGCAAGGCTGAGGCAGGACCAGCCCAGCACCCCTCAGATTGAAGGGCCAGGTGCGGCTGCCCTGCCCCCTAATGGGGCAACAAGTTACTGCAGCTGCCAACTTGGCAAGGCCGGTCAAGTCCCACGGAGGTGGGGCAGGCACCCAGTGCTACCCACGCCCTGCCCCAGACCCCGCACGCTGCAGCGCCTGGGCGCTGGGTGGGTGTTCACGGAACGCCCCCACACTGACAGCTGACTGTCAGCACGGTGGTTGGATGGTTGCAGAAAGCAAATCAAACCCTATGTTAAGCGTGGGGTCAACATGTTCTTCCCAGCCTCCCTGAGTCCTTCTGGAAGCACCAGGGGCCAAGTGAGGCAAGAGACATTCAGCATCTGGTCCCTAGGATGGTGGGAGGTGAAGAGTGTGTTGTTGTTTTTTTTTAAGACTTTATTTATTTATTCTTAAAGAGAAGGGAAAGGAGAGAAAGAGGAGAGAAACACTGATGTGTGAGAGACAGCAATCAGTTGCCTCTTGCACGTCCCCAGTTGGGAGCCTGGCCCTCAACCCAGACACGTGCCTTGACCGAGAATCGGGCCAGCGACCTCTTGGTTTGCAGGACGACGCTCAACCTACTGAGCCACACTGGTCAGGGCAAGGGCGGGTTTCGTAGCTCAAAGGATCTGTACAACCTCTCAGGGCTGCTTCCGTGACACAGGACTCGTCCTGCCATAGGGTGGTGATGGGCACTTAGTGGGAGGCTATGTTTGTGGCGCTTGGCAACCTCAGTTCCCTTCCTCCCAGAACAAGTGCACTGGCTGGCCAGTCCCATGGCCTGAGCAAGCCCCTCCCCTTTCTAGGCCCTGCCAGGTCACCCAGTCAAAGACCGTTTCCAGAGATGGATCATGAGGTTAAATCACAGACCCCTGATTTCTCTGCAGCCAGAGTTCTCACATCCTGGCCGACAGTGGTGGGCGGGTGGAGTTGGGCCACACGGGGCTGACCCCAGCCTGCCCCACAGGAGGCAGCGGAGGCAGAGGCGGCTGGGGAGGAACGAGGGCGCATCTTGCTGTCACTGTGCTACAGCTCTCAGCGGGGCGGGCTCCTGGTGGGGGTGCTGCGCTGCGCCCACCTCGCCCCCATGGACACCAATGGCTACTCGGACCCCTTTGTCCGCCTGTGAGTGGGAAACGGAGGTGGACAGGTGGGCGTGGCGGTTCCACAGGGCCCCCCGGGGGCTCACCTCTCCCCAGCTGCTCCTAACCCGACCCCATGCTCCCCAATCAGTTCCCTGCATCCCAACATGGGCAAGAAATCTAAATACAAGACCAGCGTTTGGAAGAAGACCCTGAACCCCGAGTTCAATGAGGTAGGCCAGGGCTGGGCCAGGTAGTTCTGCTGCTCAGGGGTGGGGAGGTCAGCACCCTGCTTCAGTCAGAAAACATGGGTCCCAGTTATCCAGGGTCCCTTGCCAACCCGAGCCTGATGCTGAGGCTGTAAAGGCCCGACGCCACCTCCTTCCGTCCTGTCTCCGTCCCCACAGGAGTTCTTCTACGAAGGCTCACGGGAGGAGCTGGCCCAGAAGACACTGCTGGTGTCTGTGTGGGACTACGACCTGGGCATAGCTGACGACTTCATTGGTGAGTGGAACCGCAGGAGAGCTGGTGGGGGTCCAGCGGGCTCCCGCACAGCTCCTGACCCCTACTGCCAACCCAGGTGGGGTGCAGCTGAGTGGCCGGGCCAGTGGGGAGCGCCAGCGGCACTGGAGAGAGTGTCTGGGCTGCAGTGACCGCCGGCTGGAGCTGTGGCACCCGCTGGACGGTGCGCCCCTCCAGCTCAGCGATTAGCGGGGGCACCTGGCCCGGCCCTGCTCACTGTTTCTCCCCCAAACCGACCTGGTCTCCGCAGAGCTGGGAGGACCTAAGGCTGCCTCACTCACCACACCCAGCACCCCATCAAGTTGTTTCCTGTCTTTTCCCATCATACTTGCCCATTATCAAACCAGGAAGCAGGAATAAACCTCTCCTCCAAACAAGACCAGGCGAAGCCCGCTCTTTCCCTGCGCGTCGCCCCACAGGGCGGACTGGGCGCTGCTCTCCTTGTCCTTGCCCTCTGGCACACCCAGGTTTTGATCCCAGGCCACAGCCCCCCCGCCCCCCACTTCCTGCACTGAGGGCTGCATGTTCAGGATGCTCTCGGACAGAGTCACGGACCCACAGGAGGCCAAGGCCTGGACTCTTGACATGACCCTGAGCTGACCCATCCTTTCCAAGCCTCCCCCACTGGGAAACAGGGCTCCATGAGTAATGGGCCTTGGGGGGCAGAGTGAAGCAGGGCCACAGAGCAGCTGCAACGGCACAGTGGGCAGCACTCGCTTTATTGTCCAACCGTCTTCTGGACAGAGGGACGCCAGCCCAGGGCAGCAGGCTCAGGCGGCAGCTTGCCTGGCCTGGTGCTGCTGGGCAAACCGCTGCATCCGGTCCTCGAGCTCTGGCCGGAAGTGGCGGATCAGGCCCTGGAAAGGGGTGAGGGCACCGTGTGAACTGGGGTCTAAGAAACCCCCTCCCCCCAGGTTTCCAGCACCCCTCCCTCCGGTGACAGCAGGGCAGTGAGTACCTGCACGGGCCAGGCGGCCCCGTCGCCCAGGGCACAGATGGTGTGGCCCTCTATCTGCTTGCTGATCTCCCACAGGGAGTCGATCTCGGCTGGCCGGGCGTCCCCCCTCACAAAGCGGGCCATGACCTTGTTCATCCAGTCCACACCTGCGGCCACAGCAGCGAGAAACTAGAAGCCCCAGCGTGCCGGGAGGCAGTATCTGTCTAACATTCAGGGTCCGGCACCCACCCACCTTTGGCCTATGCCCAACCCAGGCCCAGAATGAGCCAGAGAGAGAGCCCCCACCCTGCCTGGCTGCTCACCCTCACGGCAGGGGGTACACTGGCCACAGCTCTCGTGCTTGTAGAATTCAATGAGGCGGGCGATGGCTTTCACAATGTCTGTCTGGAGGGACGAGGGACAATGAACAGACACCCGAGGCCTGAGCCTCAGCCCTTGGGAGCGGCCCCTTCCGAGTCCAACAGCGTTCCGGCTCCTCCCCCATCCTCTAGGCACCCTGCCCGAGCGCAGCCCCGCTCCCCCTCCCGCCGGTACCTCAGGCTGCAGGATCCAGGATCCAAGAGCTGGCAGGAGCCCTCAGGGAGGCTCAGGGAGGGGTACCAAGCAGGCTGGCATGTGGCGGGGACTGGACGGGGAGCACGGGCTACCCTTACCGAGCGGTCCATGACGATCACCGCAGCCGTGCCCAGGCCCGTCTGCGCCTGCACCAGTGCATCGAAGTCCATCAGCACCGTTTCACACACGGACTTGGGGATCAGGGGGGTGGACGAGCCGCCAGGGATGACAGCGAGGAGGTTGTCCCAGCCACCTGTGACACCCCCTAGGGTCCCAGTCCCCAAAAGGACGGATGGTCAGGCCTGGGGCCGGCACACTGCCCAGTGGTGAGCCCAGGGCCTGTCCACCCCGCCCCGAGCACCGGGCCCCACCGGCATGCTTCTCAATCAGTTCCTTCAGCGGCACGGACATCTCCTCCTCCACGGTGCATGGGTGGTTCACGTGGCCAGAGATGTTGAACAGTTTGGTGCCCGAGTTGCGCTCACGGCCAAAGCTGGCAAACCAGGCACCCCCGCGGCGGCAGATGGTTGGGGACACAGCCACAGTCTCCACGTTGGCCACAGTTGTAGGGCAGCCAAACACTCCTGTGGGGAAATGGAACAAGAGACCGGTGGCTCCTGGGGCTGAGGACAAATTGGGGCAGGTTTCCTGGCCGTGTGTCTGTCCCAGGGTCCCACTCCCGTGGCACAGTGCCCCCCTCCCTCATCGTTCTCATTCCCACCGGGGCCCAGGCTCCACCAGGCTCTGCGCCGCCCTGCATGCCGCCCTGCTCTCTGCTTCCCGAGGGCTGGGGGGGACTTGGGTCTCCAACAGGGGGGCTAAAGCAAGCTGAGTGAGGCGGCTGTGGTGGAGCCTCTGTATCGTTACCACCCTCTGTCTGGCCCCCAGCGAGGAAGGAGCTCAGAAGTTCCCTAAGAAAGACCAGTGGGGACTTGGAGCCAAGTTCGGATTGCACAGGACACAGGACGAGGCTCGGGTCGGGCCGGGTCTTACCCACGTCTGCGGGGAAGGGCGGCTTCAGGCGGGGCTTGCCCTGCTTGCCCTCGATGGACTCGATGAGCGCCGTCTCCTCCCCGCAGATGTAGGCCCCAGCCCCGCGCACCACGAACACGTCAAAATCATAGCCAGAGCCGCAGGCGTTCTTGCCAATCAGACCGGCCTCATAGGCCTCTCGGATGGCCACCTATGGGAGGGGGCGTGAGGATACAGGCACTGGGAGCCCATCACCAAATCCAGGGCAAAACCCCCTCTGGACGAGAATGGGCGATGCTCTGGGAGGGGTGAGGACATCTGCTGTGCGCGCGCTATTGTAATGACAACACTTAAAAATTCTCCAACTGCATCTACTTTTGAAAGAAAGATTTCAGGATAATGAAAATTTAGCACATAGTTTCTCTAAGTAGTGGATCTGTGAGAGGTTTTTCTATCTTGTGTGTGTGGTTTCCTGTCTTCATAATAAGTACTGCTTCTGCAATAGAGGGAAACACCATCGAGGTTTATTTAAAAACATGTAATAATAACTGTCATACATGATGCTATTAATGTGTCAGGCAGTGTTCCAGGTGCCATTCCTGTATCCCTTGTCGTTGTGTAGGACCTGAACAGAAAAGTGTGACTTGGCCCTGGACTAATTGCTGTGGCCATCACGAAGCTAAGAATGACTGAAGACCCTGCAGCCCTGCTGCAGGAAGTATGGCCTTGCATGGGTTCCCCAGCCCACCCGGAGCCTTGGAAGGCCTCCTAAATGGAGGCTGTGGAGCATCAGGAGGAGACTCTGGGAGCCATATTCCATTCACAAGGCATGCAGGAGTGACCCCTGCTCTGCCAGTTTGACCCAGACAGGTCAGGCGCTAAAATCTACGAGCAGCGCGCCCGGTCAGCGGGTGCGTGAGTGCACACGGAGCACGTCCTCCTCTGAGGACGCCCCTCCCCCGGCCCACCTGCAGATTGGAGGCCTCGTTGTAGAATTCCCCACGGATGTAGATGTAGGCCGCACGGGCGCCCATGGCCCGGCCCCCCACTAGGCAGCCTTCCACGAGCTTGTGGGGGTCGTGGCGCATGATTTCCCGGTCCTTGCAGGTGCCCGGCTCCCCCTCATCTGCGTTCACCACCAGATACTTGGGCCTGTGGGGGGCCCACAAGTCAGTTAGGCTCCAGGGCCACCGGGGGTGGTCTCTCAACGCCCACTCCACCCAGGGACGCCTCACGCTGTCTCCTCGGACAGCCTCCCCTCCCTGCCTGCCCACCACATTCCTGGGGGCTCCTCCTGCTCACCACCAATGACGGGGGGCTCACTGTCTATTCCGCCTTTGGGTGGCAGGGCCACAAGAGAGCTCTTTGTCCTGCTCAGTCCAAATGGCTCTCCCACTGCTTTCCCGAGGGCCCAAATTCTGCTCTTGGTCACAAAGGGCCTTCCCACCAGTCATCATTTGCTTTCTATGTGTGGACCAATGAGCAGGCTAAAAGCTATACACACATTATCCCTTTAAAAAGGACCAAGAGACTGCCCAAAGCTGAACGACTGGAAAGCCGAGCTAGGAGCTGATCAGTTAAGTCTGCCTGAGCCAGGAGCTTGTGCTGATCCTCCTACTCCTCAAGTCTCCCCTGAGGAAAACGAGAGAAAACTGGGTTCCAGCTGCGTAAGCTCTGGTAACACTTGCTTACTTTATTCTCTCCAGGAAACAGCCCAAACCCTGAGCGAGCCACGGCCACCCGCGAGGCTTCTCCTGCGACCCCATATCAGCCTCCCCAAACACACCTGCCATCTGAGGGCTTATTCATGAAGCTCCACTTGAGGCCAGTGGGGAAGCCAGCACCTCCACGGCCCCGCAAGCCTGAAGTCTTGATCTCACCCAGGATCCAGTCAGGTCCCTTCAGCAGGATCTCCTTTGTCTTGTACCAGTCACCTCGGCTCTGAGCACCTTTCAGCCTGGGCAGAGTAGGGAAGGCAGTGAAGGGGAGGCCCTGCCCTGCGACCCGCCAGGCTAAGGGCACCATCTCACCTCCAGTCATGGCGGCCATACAGGTTGGTAAAGATCCGGTCTTCATCCTTCAGCGAGCCAAATGAGGTTTTCTTGGGCGCTGTCTGGGGACAAAGAGGGTCAGAAGGTCCCACAGAGCTCTGGGGTCATGAGGGGTCAGGCGGGAAGCTAAGGATTCTTGGGTCCCCCTGATTAGAGGGGGCCAGCTGGGAGAGAGTAGGGGCCTAAGCCTTAGGGCCCTTCGTAACTTCACAGCTACCACCCCCACTTAGTAAGCACTATCTGTTCAGCAGGCAGTAGGCTAAGCATTTTACATCCAAAACCCCATTTCATCCTCATAACCCTGGGACAGGAATGATTTTACAGAGGAAACTGAGGCTCAGAGCAAAATGAACTTCTGTAAGCACGTACAGCCAAAGACAACAAATGGAATTTGAACACAAGTCTCTCCGTGGCCCGAGCCCACACCTGAACCACAGCACCACACTACCTCACTGGGCCCAGCGCGATGGCGTGTCCGTTTCCTTGTCTGGCTGGCCTACTGGACCAAACCTTAAGTTACATCGCTAACTCTGCTGGAGGCAAAATGCATCAACTGATGGAAAAGAAATGTCTTACCAGGGCTGGATGATGGAGGGAAGACCCACTTGGGATAAACCTGAGGAGGAGAGCTGGGGCCTGGAATTCTACGTAACACAGAGGCGAGCACCCCAGCTGAGGGCTAAGGACAACCGGCTTCCAGACTCCCGTCCCCTTAAAAACCACTACAGAAGCAAAGCGCTGAACGAGAAATCGGTCAGTGCATATCTCTCTCCAAAACTGTTTTCTGCATCTGCAAAATGGGGCGATGACACATTCACTCCCTACAAGGCTGTGGCAAGGAG